AAAACTACATTTTAGAAGAAAAATTGTCCTTAAAATCAATCTTAATAAAGCAACTATAAAAACTTGAAAAAATCAAAACATTATATATTAGAAATTATTTAAGTAATGAAAATTTAAATTAGTAACGATTTCACACTGAAAGAGTTGATTTTACTTAAAATTTTTTTTTAATTAGTTCAATTTAAGAGTGGAAAAATGCATGAAAATTAAACTGAAAACAAAATTTAGGCTCAGAAAACTACAAAGAAACTAATTTGTTATCTGATTTCAAATTTGGCGTCAAGTCTCGCCAGCAATTGGGCCACAGGAAAATCCAAATAAAAACATTTGGTATTTTTGAAATTTTTTGGGTATTGTGTAGGCTTAAATAAAATTCTGATGTTATCTTTTATTTCCTGAGTTAAATGACGTAGCAATTTAATTTAATAAAGAGTGATATAAAAGATGATATTCTTACGCTAAAAATGTCAGAGAGTTTTTTCTAATTATTATTTCAAGAGTTTGACATGCTTCAGAATAACAATGATTTAACGAAATTTCTCTCTAAAAAAATTAAATTGTAAATCAAAAATAAAAATAATCTTCCACGACCACCCTTTAAGGGAACTAGTTTATGGCCCACTTTTCTCGAAGTTGATCATCCACATTCTTGTTCTTCCGATATTTGGAGGAATATTCTAAGAAATAGGGTTAAAAAAATGGAAAGCGACTTACAGTGGACGAAAATTTGCTTCGATTATGAGAAGAAACAGGTTCCAGAAGTCTACAGTCCTACTTTCTTTATATTTAATTTTTTTACTTTCTTTTTCACAATTGTTGAGTTGTATGAAATGAATGTTTATCATTTATTTATTTGACTGAATATTTTATTTAGATGAGAATACATTTTCACACCTATACATTTATGAATAATATGTTTATTGTGATATTAACAGTTTAGGGCATACAAAAAGTAAGACTATGTTATTGGATTTAGGAAGAGATTTGAAAATAGTTTTTTAACCAGTGTTTCATTCGGAAAGATCACGGATTGGTTAGAAATAGCAGTTTAATGCTAAATTAGAATTTATTTACTAGAATTCTCGCACAAGTATGTGATACCACCCCTCTTTGGTGACCGTATCTTTGATTGTCAGCGTGAGCTAGAGGTGTATGGTTTGCAAAAGGAATAGACATTTTTGAATCTTAATATGACTTTATTAAGAATAGAACTTAAATGTCTAACAATTTAGTTAATATTAATTCAGCTAGAATCTATAATAAACAAACACACAGTAATTGTTAAACCTAATCGCGTAACTTAGACCACTACAATTATTTAATCTGCCTACTCTCACTTCTAATAATATTACAAGTCCTAATATCAAATTATCATTCCTACCTTAATCCAAATTTAGATTCGATCTTATGAGGAAACGTCTGGGAGCGCGTGCAGTGGTATGCACCTTGTTGTAATGGTTTATTCTCCAGGTAACTTCACGATTGGCTTTCAATTCCCACTTGTCTCTTCCACACATATCATTCCCGAAAATTGCCATTTCACTTACTGAAACTTCTTTTATTTAAAAGCTATCTTATTTGCATTTATTTTTCACATTTCGCTTCTTGGGGTTTGGTTGGAAAAGAGTTGACATTAATCTTGGCCTCCAAAGAACCCAGAGGGCATGTTAAAGAAAAGACGCGTGAGCCCGTCACAAGTAGTCCAATGCTAATTTTCTATAAGAGTTTGAAGAAGTTCTCTTCTCGCACCTATAACAATTTATAAAAGTGAATCCATGTAAACCACCTCCCTTTTTATATCAATTTCACTAGTAAAAAGTCCATTAGACTTTGTCGTTGTGTAAGAAACTCCAATAAGCATTTATTGGTATAACAATTAATCCATTTCTAAGTTCTGTATTGGATTCAACAGTCAAGTGGAAATATCCCATCTGCAGAAAGTCTGCATTTGTTAAATTCTAAATAAAAAAATCAAAAAGAAAACGATGAAGAAATTATAATTGAGAGGGTTAGGTAAAACATTAGAGCATCTAATACTGTTTTGTAAGGGGCATCTTGATGCAAAGAGTGGCCACATTTGCAAAGTTGAAGATTATCCAACTGATTATTGTGTCCGTAAGATTGATTTATGTTCCAGAACAGCCTTTGTATACCACAAATAAAATATTTCATAAAAGCTTTTGAGATTTCCAAATATTTAAATTTAATCTCTACACACCGAATTTCTTAAAACAAAATTAAATGCTTAAAAAATATTTTACTTTTTATTACAAAAAAAGAAAAAAAAATCATACATATTATAGGTTACGTAACCTTTTTTCATATAAGGATAAAAAAAAAATCTTTACAAATCCTCTCAATGCACTAGTGAAACAAGTTTAGAAAATCATTTTCCTATCAATTTTTGCATTGGAGATCTAGTTTATAACTAGTACAAATTTTTTTAAATAATCTATTACAGGTAAGAAATATTAACCTTGCGAATTTTTAAGACGTTTTTCGTTATGAAATAGCTGAGAACAGAAATATATGAAAAAAAAAAATAGCTGAAATGAGAAAATAATAAAAAATAACTGGTTCAGAATGTCTTGTTTTAATTTCTTAGTCTACCTTGTTTAAGCTCCTGCTTTATTATTAAGATTTCATAAAAGGACAAAGTGCCTTATAAATACTTTATATTTTTAAAAAGCATCAGGTAAACTATTTTAACTTTCTTTTAATATCATATGGGAATCAATTTAATTTCATCTATTCACTTTAAAGATAAGAGTACTACACATTAGAAATCAGTATTTAGAAAATGGTAAGTAAGTTAGCTTAGAAAAGAATGCCAAGTATATAATTTCATATATTTGAAAATAATGCTTAGGCTATCCATATAATTTTGTCGCCGCGGTAGCCTAGTGGCCAAGGTAACGGACTCGTGGCTGGCATGTCATGAGCTCGAGCCTAGTACTGCTGAAGACCAGCCGTGTAGGGGCGCGATGTACGTGAAATATGTCGAAAACTCAAATGTTCTCTCGCTGGTGTGCTAGTTAGAAAACAGGGTGCCAACTCAGGTGTCGTCCTCGATCATGGTTCGAAATTACGAGGTCCGTCGCCAAAAGCCCTAGAGTAGTTGGACAGTACAACGTTAATATTCACTCACTCACTCACGAGAGAAGGAAAGGGGTATTAGATAATACCCTATTTTTCCTCATGGGTACATACAGATAAAATGATATAAATAAATGATTGAATGAGAAATGAAGGAGATAATTTGAACATGCTTAAAGTTTTTAAGGTATTTCTTCTGCATAAGAACTTGTTAAAATGCCAGTATTGTGTCAAATCAGGTAAGCGAAAATTAACATCTTAAGCATCCATCTTAAAGTAACTACCGGGTATATGTTTATATATAGAGAATAATATTCCTCAACAAAATATTTTATGAATCCATTACATATATTGTCAACAGTCCTTCAAAAAATCTATTTTTTTCTCAATTTTTAGAATTTGATAGAAAGATACAATACCAAATTTTGTAATTGTTATTACATTTGAAATAGTATTAGTCAATCATTAAATAAATTACATTAGTAGCTACATAAATGTTTGTTTTTCCTAATTATAAATATAACTTTTTCATATTATGATTTTTATTTTTGTATTTTATCTTTTTCTATAATGTTCATATTTGCTTCTAAAAATTATGTATTCAATTATTAAAATATAAAAAGATACTAACCGGAAAGATATATATACTTTGGGCTAAGGTGAATATTTTTGTGACATGGATAGACTATGTTTTGAAATTATGTTCTTTATCAGCAATTTTAAGAATTTGACACTGGAAACATGAATCTGAAATACAATGAAAAAACATGAACAATGCTTTGAAGTTAAAGTCTAAACTAAATTAATAAAACATAATGTTTTTGCCATATTAATAATGTTTAATTTATTTAAGTCCCCCGAAACCATGATCAAGCGAACATATCTTTGGTGATAAAAATGGACTGGAATAAAAAAGTATACTCTTGTCCTTTTTATAGAGTAGTACAAGGAATTGATACTTAACATAGTCAAACTTGAGCAAAGGTTACTTGGCATTAATAATACTTGACCATTACATCAGTTACTTGCTGTACGAGGTTTCAGATGTAACTCAGATCATTTTACAGCAGCAGATGTGAATTCCAAACACAATTTTGTGCCCTATGATAGTGTTTAAACAGTTATAAGCATTCGAGCCCATGACCAAACAAGTATGTCGCAAATAATGCATTCAAGTAAATGAGCTCTTAGTGATATTGGTCTTAGAATGAAGCATTTCATCAGACTTAAAATCATAACAAAAAGGAGCTATTAAGGGAAAAAGAAAACACAAAATATCCCTTTGAAGAAATGTTTTGTTTCTTTTTTCTTGCTAATTTTTATTATAAGGGGCGTTCCCAACAAGATAGACTCAGTCTTAGGATTGCGGTAAGATCCGCCGTGTTGCCATCATGGTAAGAGGTGAAAATAACACACCGCAATGCTTTGTTGGTAAATAAGTGTCCTACTTTTGATTGATTGATTGATTGAATATTAACGTCGCACTGTTCAGCTACACGAGGGCTTTTGGCGACGGACCACGTAATTTTGAACCATGGTCAAGTGACGTGGACGACACCTGAGCTGGCACCCCCCGTCCTACTTTTGAACAGATTGCTTTGAGATAACATGTTACCCAAAATAATCAACATATGGATACTCTCTTGATACAATGAAATGTATAAAATACAATTTAAAATGCATAATTATAGAGCTGTGTATGTGAATAAGGTAACTGCCAAACAAATTTATATATCATATATATGTTCATAACTACAGATAAAAAAAATGTGATATATATTGATAATTGATGTGTTTGAATTCCATAACAATTGTTTGAATTCTGCTTGAAAGCATCTGCCCATACACAGAAACGCAATTAGCAAACACAGAAAGAAAACATAGCGTAAAGGAAGCGTTTTGTGTTCAGGATGGCCGAGTGGTTATGGCATCGGACTTCTGCACCGTTTGCAAAATGTGGCCGCTCTTCGCTTTCAGGTAGTGCGGTATTGAGGCTTTCCTACAGGAACTTTAAGGTATCAAACTAATATGTATCAAAAATGAAATATAAAAAAAGTACATATAATTAAAATGTGAGGATTTAAAGAAGAGATTATATATGTCGGCAATAGCAAAAGCCATCGCAAAATGGCAAGCTTTGGATCTTCCATTATTGCAATGCTGTGTAAGTGAAATTCATCATCCAATGAGGGGCCGCAATTGCAAAGGTGGTGGTTATCCGATTGACTGTTGTGTCTGCAGGTTCGATTCCTGCTCCTAAACAGAAGTCCTTTTTTCTTTCCGAAAGATATAAATATTGAATAGACTTTAGAGATTATCGAATGTTTGATAATAAATTCATGTCTTTTAAAAAAAAAATTATATATAATGAGATTTGAGAAAATTAATTAATGAGATCTTTTTCTTCATTATCTTATCGGAAATTAAATATTCGTCAGTCAGTTAGAAATTTCATTATTTTTTTAAATTTGTTTACGAAGAAATTATTTTGCACAAACGGTTTAATTTACAAAATAAAATGAACTTACAAAAATACATTTTCATTCCAATACGATTCAATAACACATCTTTTTAAATTTCAACATTGGATTCATGTTATTTTTTGCTAAAATTGTAAGGATTTTAGTCGCAATCACCGAATCCAGAAATACGAGGGTGGTCTGAAAAGTTTCCCCAACCTAACTAAGATTCAAAATATTTTTACCGAATTTTTTTTTTTATTTTTCAGCACAGTCTTCTTGTATCTCTACACCCTTCTCCCAGCGATGCTCCAATCTCGGTAACTCATCCAAATAGTACTCGACGTTTTTCGCAGCAAAATAATTGTTCACGAAGATGATTGATTGTCTCCTCATTTAAAGAAAATCTCTGTCCTCCAAGCGCAATTTTTAAATGAAGGAAAAAAGAAGTTGCTTGTGCCTAGATCTGATGAGTACGATGGATGGTCAGGAAATTCAAACCGTAATTTGTGGATTTTCGCCATGGCAACCACTGAGGTGTGAGACGGTGACTTGTCTTGGTGAAAGAGGATATTCTTTTTCTGCAAATGTGGCCTTCAGATTGTCAAGTAATGATGCGTAGTATGCTCGTGTAAGGGTTTTTCCGTTTTGAAGATAATCGATTAAAATAACTCCATAACTATCCCCAAAACCAGTCACCATAACTTTCTCAGCCCCCAAAACAGTTTTTGATTTTTTTGGAGCTGGTATACCCTTTGCAGTCTACTGTTTGTACTGTATTTTTGTTTTCGGTGTATAATGATGTATCCACGTTTCATCTACATTAATTAATCGGCTCCAAAACTAGGCTTTTTTGCCCCTAAACTGCGCCAACAGAGCGATTAAGATGCTCATTCGAACACGTTTTTGGTGTAACTTGAGCAAACGCGGCACCCAAGGCGCGGACAGCTTTCTCATGCCTAAATGTTGATTTATTTTACAAACACGTTCTTTTTACAAGTTCATAACCTCTGCTATCTCTCTTTAATTCGGCGGTCGTATAGCACCATTTGGTGAATTTTGGCTATGTTTTCGTCGGTAGTTGCAGTATTCGGACGTCTAGAACGTTCAACGTCTCCCTAGCTCTTACGGTCACGTTTAAATTCAGATGCCCAAAATTTCACCGTGGTAAATGATGGAGCTGAGTCGCCATACACAGAATCCAACTCATCTATGATCTGCGTAGGCTTATTGCCTTTCAAAAACAGATATTTAATGCCAACTTGATACTCGTGTTTGTCCATTTTCACAAAACCTCTCACATCAACTTACTGAAACGACTGTTACTTAACAACTGTGCGTCCAAAATGGCTGAAACTTTAGTGAGTAATTGTCAACAGATGAACAACGAAATTTACTAGCTTTTATTGACAAGTGCTGCTATCTTCCCGTTCAGGTCGGAAACTTATCAGACCACCCTCGTAAATCTCTCTCTCCCACTCTCATTTGGCATTCACTGTTTTCTTATCAACAAATCATTAGGATAGCAAACATCTCAATGGTTTTAAATATTCTATCCATATTCACAACACTTTTTACTTGTCCTATTACTCAGCATTGTCGTATCAGCAAAGGCTCACATGCCAAAATGCCGTCTATTTGAATGAAAAAAGATTAACTTTTTTTTAACTGAAAGTTTTCTTTTTTAAAAAAGTGTGTGTGTACTTATGTACGCACATAAGAAGTTATACTTCTTTGGCGTAACAAGTTACAAATCTTTCTAAAAATCTATAGCAGGGCAAGCTGGGCCAAGGACGAGAGGCATTCACGAACACAGTTGAACGATTCTAACCTTCAGTCAATCGGACCAGCCAAACCTGAGATAATCACGATTTGGATAAATTTAAACACCCCTCACAGGAACAATAGAACCAATAACATGGGGGAGGGGGTATTAGACTATATCTGGAGATGAAGTGAATCGAATTTGACACCTGAGACCTCATATTGAATATCTCAGTGGGAAGAATCGTTCCTGAGAAAATTAAGACATCCGCCTGAAGTGTTCGCGAGTTATGGTCATTTTAAAATCATTACAACATTTGAAACAATTAAATAAAACAGAAGCAGGGCACCTAGCAACTCGAACCTGGGACTGGTTGTGGGCAAACACAAGAGAAATCCATTAGAACTGGTCCGGAGTCTGTAGTTGCAAATGGGGCGGCGCTAGCTCGATAAAGGAAAACGAGACTAACTTCCCCCTGGGGGAATATCTGCGACGTAAATGATCACGTACATTCCAAAGATACACAGAGTAGTAGGTGATTCAAAGTTTCATCATTCTATGTCTGTAATATCGTTACGTCATCAAAAGATCGAACCCCATATGTATAGAGCATGGTGACTCTAATTTTAGTGATAACGCCTCTCCATAAGCCCACTATCTACACACGAATTATAACAGATGAAACAGCTCAACGGAAAGAACCTATGGGGCGAGTTTCATTAAAGAATCTCAAAAATCCTCGGAGCTATGCAGGATTTAAAAAAAATTATAACTAAAACAATTTTAGAATGATAAATATGGGTATAGAAATCGGGCTATGGTCCTAAAAAAATATATCTAGGGTCATCATCGAAAGAACAATCGAATCCAGCCGGTGCGGTCCACCAAGGTGGTATAGGACTCGAGTTATTTCTGGGGAAGCTCTGTAGGGGGGGATTCCACGTCAAGCTCGCGCTAATACGAAAGTATGGTGGACCTCCAATAATCAAGTTCCAAGCTCAATTCCTTAGGGGGAGGAAATTTTTTCCAGTCCCCATAGGATTAACATGGGAGCATGATATTATAGTGCTTAAGCCCTCACCATGCCTACACAATGGGAATGAAGCAGATGGCTGGTTAAGTCTCGACCAGTAGAATACTTGGTTCAAATCTCAAGTCCGAGACTCGAACAAGAACCAAGATATTGTGAATTTAAACAAATTTAAAAAGTTTAAGACAACTAAAAACTATGGAAGAAATAGCCCTATGAGCCTGAAATTATAATAACTGGAAATTATAATAACCCTATGAGCATGAAATTATAATATTAATAGAGAAAGATCGAATGAACAAGGTCCGAATGTACTGTGAGGCTCGGGTGCCGAGATATTGTTCTAAAAGCTGTAGGGGGGATGCATCCCAACAGATATGTTTTATAACAATAGTTATGATCCCCCAAATCTCAGTCCCATAGCACCAAAAAAGTGGCATGTTAAGGGTAGTCGGAAACCTCTATACCGACGTTAAATTGGCTGTTTTCGAGGTACATTTTCTCAAAATCTGTTATATGTACATGCTTGAAATTTTTCATACAATTAAAATACACATTTCTCATTATACTCAAATGAGCTTTTAGCTAATTTTGATTTTTTTCATAATTTATAAAATTTTTTATCAAACATAGTTTAAGTTAACCCGTTTTTCACATAAAAAAATTTGTAAAAAATAAATTTTTGAGTTTTTTACAAAAAGCTCATTTCAGTATATATTAGCCATCATTATAAATATATCATAAAAAATTTACATATCTTTGAACAATAGTTTCTAAGAAAAGAAACATCGAACATTAAAAATTGACATTTTGAGAAAAATTGATTTTAATATATAATTACCTTTTTATTAAAACATTCCTGCTCCATATTCTAAATTATCAGCATTTTTTAGTATCTCATCATCTTCTCTCTTCCTTTTAATTCTTTTTTCTTTCCTAACTTCCTTTGTTTTCTGTAAACAAGAGTATTTTGCTCGTAACAGCCTCAGTTTGTCGAGGCGCTCCATTGCCTGTATCGTGTAATCACCAGGCTCAATGCATAGTTTCCTCAATATTTGTAGTTTTGATACATTTCCCATGTTAAATGAAGAAACTGCATCATATGTACCCAATGATAGAACTTCTATTTGTACAAATGTTTTCTTCGGTACACGAGACCATATTACATTATTTACACTTTCGTTGGGATTTTGCGTACCTCCATGTAAACACTTTTTTAGCAATTCTGGATTAGCTAAATCCCTAAAAACAGGTCGCATGGCCTCCACAACATCAACAGGTAAACTATTTTTGTGATGATAAGTCTCCCCAAGCAATTCTGCCTTTTTAAATTTGCACCATGTATCTGTATCAGAGGGACAAAATCCATGCTGAGGTTTTTCATCGGTTGATAGCTTGTGTAAAAATATTGCCCATATGGCTTGTTGCATGTCCTTCACGCTAGACAAATTTCTGCGGATGGCTAGACCATAATATGCTTGCAGACGGTCGATTTCTGCCTCTGTCAATCTATTTTTTCCGCATAAAGGTTTTCCGTCAGAAAGTTTTTGGCCTCTCATCTTAGTCTTCAAGCGTCGAAGACGTGTCCCCATTCTTTTCATAACATGACCTATGCATTCTAACTTCTCGACAGAGCAATGGTCCCCATATACATTGTTCTCGACAATAGAAGTAAAAGCCTTAGAGTCCCCATCTCCTAAATATTTTGTATAGCGAACATTATAGAGAGACTGGGAACGCTGAAAAATGGATAGAGCTCCAGCTACTTCCATCTTACCGCTATAGCCTTC